ATGATTCTATGATTCCTCTCGCTGAGGAAGCGCCGGAGTGAGGGCAGCATCAGGGATCTGCAGCCCCTGGGAAGCTCTGAAAGTATTAGGAGAAAAACCAGCCAAGGTGGGAGCTGAGAGTTTATTCTGTGGGTTTACATGAGAACGGGAGCACTTACCTAACAACTGGTTTATCTGTGAGCTGAGGATATCGATTTACCAACCTGCTGTGCTGTGGTGTCCCCTTACATAACTTTGACCCCGTGTAGTTGTTTTCCCAAGTGACGGTTCGTTAGCTGCATCCTTGGCTACCCTGTTGTTTAAATCTCACTTTTTTTAGCACCTGTGTCGCTCCCAGACTCTACCCAGCAAACTCCGGTTTGGAGGCATCCGTTTCTCTGCCGGGGTGCTCGATCTTGTGCCTAGTAAGCACGAAACGCCGTAAATTGGCAACACACCCCCTGTCACCGGGGCTGAGCAGGGGCGTAGCGTGACAGCTCGGTAAAGCCTCATTTTAAAGCAGAGCGTTTCAGCGCTTTGCCACGGCCTCGGCTGGTTTTCAGAGCCCTGTTTCCCGTTGCTGCGAGGCTGCTGCTGTTAAATAAAAGCACGCGGCGTGGCGATGAAACATTTGGCGTCGCCAGACGCAATAAAAACAGGCCGACAGGCCTTTGGGGGCGTTACGCTGGTAACTCGCTCCTCGGTCTGCGACTTCGGGTCGTAGCTGGATAAATAGGATTAAACTGGGGGTCAGATTTCATCGTCTGGAGCTAACCACCGACGACTCGCAGAAAACAACCTTTAAAATTTCCCTCCGGAGTGTATCGGCAGATCTGTAGCCTCGGTGCCACAGCCTGAATTTTGCCGTGGAGGAAGTTCCTGCCGTCACAGCGTGCGCTGGGAAAGCCAGTGCTTTATCTGTGAGGTCTGGCTTCCCTCCAGAAATGCCATCCGTGCTTTCCCTTACCAAGTCCCTTGGCGTCCCTGCCGCAATTTCTCACTCTCCGGTAGCTGCCCGACCCCAGCCAATAATTTTTTCCAGATACCGAGTGAAGACGCCTTTGATGTCGGTGCCCAAAACGTGTCCCTGGCCAGTGGGAGGGGAAGCGGAGTCAGCAGTGGTTAGGATCATCTTCCAGATGGCAAAGCACTTGTTCCCTGCACATCCAGCTCCGATTTTTCCACCTCTTTGGCTCCACAGCGGATTAATCCGTTTCCATTAATCATACGGTGTCAGGGCGCTTATTTGTACGAGCTCGGGGGGGTGTTTGCCCGTCCCTGCTGGCTCCGCTCCCGCCTCCTCCGGCGGCGACGCTGGGCCACTTGGCCATGTTTGGTGAAGAACGAGTGGCCGGGTGCTGCATCGAAGTGGTCCAGCCCGACTTCTGTTTATTAGAGGAAAAGCAGGAGGGGAGCGTTGCTATTTTTTCCTTTTGGGGCTGGTGGAATTCCAGGCTTGGCTGGAGCGAGGAAAGCTGACAGGTCCGTGGGGCTGCTGCAAAGGAGCTGCGGGAGGGCGGGGAGGAAGGAGCCTCTTCTCCCCGTCTGCTCTCGGCAGCTCTTCAGAAGGTGTCGTGCCCTTCGCTGGGCACGGCTCAGCGCCACGACTTCGTAGGCGCTGCTTTGCCTCCCTCCTGCTGAGGAAATCCGCGTCGAGGCACGAGTATTCCCCTGCTGCATCCGGATCCGGTTTGTGTCTCGGTGTTGCAACGGCTGTTCCTCGCTGGGAGCGTGCCTTGACCTCCCAGCTGCTGTCCCGCAGGGAAATGCTGTTGTGTTTTCCCCTTGGCAGTTGTTGACCCGGCTGGCCCGTGAATCCCCACGCTCTGGCCTTCTCCCGTTTTCCTGAGCCTTGTTTGTCCGCCGGACGCGTGCGGGGTGTCAGATAGGCGAGCGGGAGCTCCCTGCTACGGTCGTCGCTGAAACGACAAGCAAACGCCTCCTGCTAAGCCCTTCTTGGGGTGTTTTTTGGGCTTCTTCCCGCAGAGGGTGGGGAGGCACTGGGACAGGTTGCCCAGAGAAGCTGTGGATGCCCCATCCCTGGGAGTGTCCAAGGCCAGGCTGGATGAGGCTTGGAGCAACCTGGACTAGTGGAAGATGTCCCTGCCCATGGCAGGGGGTTGGAACTGGATGGGCTTTAAGGTCGCTTCCAACCCAAACCATTCCCTGATTCTGTGATTCTTGGGCATCAGGGTGAACCCCACAGCGGGGAGGCTCTCTGGGGGATAGCGGGTAAATCTCGCTTTTTATCTTCACAGCCCAGTTATTCCCTAGAGCACATCTCGGGTGCAAAAATCCATCCTTCCACACGCTGAGGTACTCGAGTAGGGTGCGCGAAGCCATCTGGGATGGTGCAGCAGTAATTCTGTTTTCCAGGTCTTGGAAAGCACCTGGCTCCCGTTTTCCCGGGGCACGGGGTTAGTCCGCGGCTTGGTAAACGGGGTCACCGTGCAGCCGTTCCTGTGGATAGCCGAGCTCGGGGAGCAGCAGCCCTGTGCCCTCCTGGGCTTGTCCATGCTTTTCCGAGCGCCTTTTCACCGCCGCTTGTATTAGACCAGCTGCTTGGGCTCCCGAGCGCCGGGATCTAAAGGACGTTTCTGTGAACTCAAGTCATGGTGTTTTCTTTCCTGCCTGAGCAAGGAAATGACAGAGAAGCCGGAGGTGACTTTGGGTGTCGGTTACGCTCTGTTTTGCTGACGTGGAGTTGGCTGATCAGTGTGTGAATATCTCCCCCCCACACTTCTACCCCGTAATCTCTTCCATCTAGTTGGGGGCGCAAAGCGTGGCTCAGCGTTGGAGCAAAGCCCTTCTCCTCCCTCTCTCTGCAGGTGGCCTGTGCATATCCGAGAACGAACGGAGGGTGGTTTCGAAGGAAGCCTGGGAGAAACTCAAGCAATACTTTCCAAAGGCCCCTGAATTCCCAAACAACAGAGAGTGCTGTTCCCAGTGCAAGGTATTGGAATGCTGAACGTTACCCGCTTCTTGACTGTAGCTGCGCCGTCGTGTTTCTGGTTTTCTTCCTAACACGCCCCGGTGGAGGAAGGGTTAATGTCACCTTGTAGTAGCAGCTAGGGACCGGAGCGGTGGGGTAACGAACTCTGTCGTGCAGGTTCTGGAGCGCGAAGGGGCGGAAAATGAAGCTCTGCATAAGATGATGGCCAGCGAGCAGAAGACTTCTCTCCAGAACCTGTTCCACGATAAGTGCAGGCCCTGCCTGGGCAGCTGGCCTCAGGTACGGCAAGGCGGGCTGCGGGGGGATCGCAGGGGGCTCGGGGAGGTGTTTATTAGCCTTTATCCCTCTCCTACAAACCCTGCTTCACCCGCGAGAGGGTGGCGGGTAAGCGCTCCGTCCGAGCGAGGCCATGCCGGCGCTGGGGAGCTGGTGCCAGCGGAGCTTCCACGTGTCGCGTGCCGAGGTGTGATTGCCCCCGCTGAGCTGTGCTGGCGCGGAGCCCTGCTAAAGATACACGAGAGCGATCCTGTGCCAGCGCAGCCGTCGCCGGCCCCGGGTCGGCCGGATAGCCGGTAACCGTATTGCGGCCCCTAGAAGGGCCGAAGCGACGTGGCCACGCGGGTGGAGGCGGCTTTCCACTGCCCTCCGTCTGCCTTCCCGTGCAGGCCAGGTTTTCCTGCTGGTCGTGCAAAATTCACGTGTGCTCTGGCATCCTCCTGCATCCCAGGAGCGCAGGGGGGGCCTCCCTAAATGCTGGTGCCCTGCAAGTAGCGGCAACAGTCGTGCAAGACCTCTCGCACCAGCTTCTCCTTGGTGGAGAAGCGTGCAGCACCCAGGAGCGTCGAGGAGGCTGGGAAGAAGTGGCACAAGTGCTTGGCTCCTCGCCTGGGCTCCCGGACGCCTCGCGGCGCTGGTTAATGACCGACTCTTGGATCCTGCCAAGCT